TGCCCAATCAATGTGTAACCTGTACAAGTAAACATCTTCATACTGTTCATCCATAACAACTTTTCTAAAACGCTATAACTGCACTGCAAGTGGTATAAGACAAAAAGGCCCATTTGCCTTTATTTGAAACACAGTGCAAAACTAATATGTAGGTCTTGGAATGTCTTGGAAAATGCATTGCTTGCAAAGTCAACATCACAGACCTTCCCTGTCTCAGATACAGCTGGAGGGCTAATCAGTCCATCCATCCTCTCTGCAAAACAGACAGAGGAAAGAAAAGGCAGGAAATGAGGGAATAGACACAACATGAGCTTAAGTAATATGCTGAAGGAAAACACTGAAACAAACGTGAACGCCGTCTTGCATTAAATGTTGCTAGCAGTGGTGGTTTTCGTACAGGTGGCACGCAGATGGGACCCCTCCTGGGAAATGCGCTTGTTAACCAGTCACAGAGCGGGCTGATATCATGAACCAGACGGAGCCCTCTGGCAGTGCAGCATCGAGGTACCCAGCATGCCCTTCTCCATGATGGCGGGGTGCCCCCTCAAACTGTTGCATCAGCGGATTAACCCAAACCTGGCAGCATTTCACTGTGCCACGTGTCAGACTGAGCAAACACTGGAAATGAATTATTATTTTCTCTCACTGTGGCTGAAAGACAACAATCAGGCCTAATGAGGGCCCCCATAGAGACTTATTATGAGCTCTAATTAATGGTGCAGAGTGTGTCATGAGTCCTGTTTACAGTATTTAATTGCTTTTCAAAAAACTTCTATTGACAGAGGGGGATTAGTTTGAGGAGTGAAGCCGAGTCGGATATAAAATCTTGACCGCGGTCAGAGTATAGGCCGGTGGAAGGGCAAAGGTCGCGCTTAAGTGGGCGAGAATGCATTTTGAGATTAGTGGATTTAGTCAAGGTCTGCAAGTCAAATGCTTTGCTGAACTACCTAGCTATCTTTCACTACTGGATGTTTATAGACAAGTTGAAGCCCCCTTGAATAAGAATAGCAGGGAACTTGTTGGATTACATCCTCGGTCTGGTAGCGAGTCTTTTGGCGAGAAGAGAACAGAAGAGGAGAGAAGAAGACAAGAGGCAGATGGACAGCAGGGTTACTGTCACATGATATTAACGCATCCACCTCAGCAGAGAAGGGAGCCTGTCACGCAGGACAGTGGGACTTAATGCTGGGGCTGAACACAGGGGGATTCTGTGATCAGTGAGAGAAAGCCCCTGCTGCCCTCGTGACCTTTTATGAGGATTATGGGCCAGATAGCGCAAAATATCCCAGACTGATATCAGAGTATGAGGATTCCCACCCGAGGAAAGACAAACACAGACTAAATGATTGAATCCCTGCTAAAAGTGAAAAAAACTACCACATATAACCGTGAAAAAAATGATTTTTGGCACTGTGATAAGTGTGTTTGTGCATTCTTGCCATGGTAATTGAACGCACATGATGGGGCTGTAGGAGGAGAGGCTGCTGGTAAGGCCTCAGTCGGTCTTGTCACGCGTCTCCTATTCGCTGAGGCCAGTAAGTGTGTGTGTGGCAACAGAGTTTGCATCTACTTGCGTGCCTATGAGAGCAAGCTGGTTGTGTGTGCATGTGCGATAACACACCGTTGGCATTCTTCATTTGTAAATAATTGAATCAGGCTATTTTAGTTTGCTCAGAGCACAGCTGTAATTTGCAGCCGTTCTGCTCTTAAGGACCGGTAATTATGGCTTTTAGAGTCTCCTAAAACAACTCCAGCGGCTTCAACTCATGACAGCTGTGCATCTGGGCCTTCACATACACACAAACATATATATATATATATATATATACATGCACGGATGTACTCTATGTGTGGCTGTTAATTAAACTGGGGCTTTATTCTAAATGAATTTCAGTGCACAGGTACAACACATGATGATGGTTCCTGAACTACGAGAACAGAATACACAGTGGATTTGCAATATAATGAAGATCAGATTTTTTTCTTAAGTCATCAGAGAAAGTGTGCTGATATTTTTCCAAAGTGTCTAGTATTACAAAATTAAAACAGCCTGAACTAATGAAAAAATAGCAACCTCAATATCTATACTTAAGGGGCAAAAAAAAGGGGAGTTTGGAAAAGATAGATGAAGATTCTGTGTGTGCATTTTCAGGCCTTTTTTAAACACTGAACCTTAAAAGAAATTGCCCATCTATTTCCACATTTGCTTGTTGTTTATCCAGAGAAGACACATACCTCAGAGTTAATGGAAGCATGGCCGTCTGCTCTTCACACACCGGCTACTCTGTCAGGCCTTGAATAAGCAGCCTTCAGTAAAAGCAATTTAAGACAAGATTCCTCAACTTATTTTTTATAATATAACAACATAAAGCAGTGTGGTCACATGAAACTACAAAAAAAAAAAAAAAAAGCTTTGCATCCATCAGTTTAAAGAGGCAGCTCTATTTCCAGCTGGAAAAAAATCTAAAACTCACTGAAATTAACCTACAGTTAATTGCAATGAACCGTGTTTCCCTGCAACAGTGGATTTATTTGGCTCTCATTAGGGAAAGCTTCTGTTGTTCAACTCCTTTAGAAATAAATCATAAATGTGATTAAACTTTACACTTCTTCAGCTCCCTTATGATTCACTAAAGTCCACTATTTTTACAAGTTTTGTGTCAGTTTTTAGTATCAGTGAAGCATTTCGTAAACACACTGGAATAAGAAAAGAATAAGGGTAACATTATTGTTCAAGTCAAGACCAAGTCAGAAGACAATAAAAGCTGCTCTTCCTCACAATAATTTAACAGTGTCACCTGACTGTAAGCTCTATTTGCTGTGAAAGTTCCCAGCCACTCGTGGCTCTAATTTACAGGCTTGGCTCACGATTTGACTGTCACAACTGGAAGCATCCACACAACTTGAGGATTATCTCCACACCATCCGCTACCTTGAATATGGCACAGCCCGGGAAGCATATGGCTGCAATCTGTGGCACCCCTCACCGAAACGGCCTCCATTTGCTTTTAATTAAACACATGGAGTCCCCCCCCCCCCGACACACACACACACACACACACACACACACACACACACACTACACAGTTGGGAAAAGGCTAATAAAAGAAACAAACTAATATGGGTTGGTGGTGATGATGTAAGGGACAATCATGTGTCAAGCACAAAAATATCCACATTACTGAAGACAGTGTGTGTCTTATTGTCTCATTACAGCTGAACCCAACATTCAGGTTAGATGAGTGACAGTCTGCAGCCATACACTTAAATCTACTAGACTGAATAAACTACAACCAGGGGGTAAGTCCACATTTCTGGTTGCGTCGTATCCTTGTTGACTAAATTGGTTCTATGCTCCTCCCTGTCGACAAGTCATCCGAGTGTCCCAGACTAAATATAAATATTGGAACGTACGCCTTGGAAGCTGAGGTTAGGTGAAGTAAACACGCTAATGTGCCAATTATGTCAACGGCATTAGAGCTCCATTGCCTGTAATCAAGAGATTGGTGCTCGCTCACCTTGTTCCAAACATATGTGTGTACGTAGATTATGGGGTCTGGCGGCAGTAATCCCCTGACCACATGGACGTCAGAAGCAATCCAATTTACAGTACGACACTGCTTAACACTTCACAATACAACCTGTTATACAATATATGCCAATAATCAGCCCTCAAACGCATGGGCTGTTTTTCACCATTAAATGCCTCCGGTCTCTAACCACTCAGCACTTACATAAGGGAGACACATTAAAATGACAACCACACAAAAATATGTTTTTTTTTTCTCTTTTTTTTTTTTTGCGGTCAAATGTAGAAAGACAGATGAGGCTTCTCCAGCATTTTTGTGGGAGTTTTTCCATTTGAAGCAGCTCGGACTCTGGACAAACTTACAGCTTCAGAAGGAACATCCATCAAATTTTGGAAGTCATGGCACTTCTTTGCTATTCCGCAACCACGACCAAAGCAGCTGAATGCCAACGTTTCCCCCCGAGTGTGCGCGCTTGTGAGCTCTTTTGGCTCCCTAAGCTAGAAATTTGGCCCAGAAAACTACTTGTGTCTTTATAAAAATGGGGTTAAGACAGTTGAGGTAACTTTAAGGGATTCCCTCCTTAGTTTTAATTTCCACTGGGGCGGCTTTCTGGGCATATTTTGTGTCATTCAGAGAGCGGATGACTTATATGTGCTCCGAATGGCTATGCATGTCATGCTCCTGAAGTACTTCTAAATTGATTTATGAATGACATAAAAACTACTTCCTCATCATCAGGAATCTGAGATACATCTTTCTTTTCATTTGCTAACATTACATTCAGAAATAATTTAATTAAGTAAAATGCTCAGAAGGCTGCAAGGTGGTGCAGTTGGTTAGCACTGTTGCCTCAAAGCAGGAAGGTTGTCGGTTCGCATCCCGGTGGGGGCACCGGAATCTTTTGTAGCATGTTCTTCCCGTGCAGCGTGGGTTCTCTCTGGTTTCTCCGGCAGATGATGAATTCTCCGGAGTGTGCTTGGTTGTCTGTCTGGTTGGTTGGTCTTGGTTGACAGCTCAGGCTGATTGAAACATGACTAGTTTTGCAGGCAATTGTTCAAAAACCTAAGTGTAGGAAAAATTACAAATTAAAAGTTGTCATGATGTTGTTGAATTCATCCTGAGGGGAAACAGGAATGTCTTAGCTTTGCCACCACCATGGACAAAAATACTTAAAACATCACCAGATTTCAATAATTAGACCTTTGTCAGCAGTTTCCAACTTGTGGAGGCTGATGTAATAAACCAGAACCTTAGTGGTATCTGTTCCGAGGACAATGGATGTCTGTGTGTTTGAATGTGACTACACGCAACACCCTCCAACAATCCAGTGGAGGATGACTCTAATCAACCTCTACACCACATTGTCATTCATTTATGCATTAAACAGATGGAGAAAGTGACTGTTTTGCACACTTGGTCACACATGTGTTGTCACTCTCTGGAGAGAATCACCAGATGTCAATCACAAAGCTCATTGAAATACTCCTTTATTCCAAATGCAGGACCAGGTCAGCGCAATAACACATGCATACGTTGTTTTTGTCATGTTCTATCTCTACATTATAGATATTTAATACATAAATGCTTCTATCCATACAAAATATAAAAATATGTGAGGCCTCATTTACAACCATATTTACACTGACTTCCTTAACTTAAGTGAAATTATTAATTCATTTATCTATATACATACTATGAACTGAATTCAATAGCACAGTATATCCTATATCTAAATCACATTGCATGAAAAAGCAAAACTGACTGTACCAAACTGACTATGTTGTACACTTGTCTGCTGCATGGAAATGAAGTTATGATTTTAAAAAAAGAAAAGAAAAAGAAAATTGCACATCCGCTTTTGATAAAAGTTGTGACTTGATAGAACTGCACATGTAACTGTTAGCCTTAATAACAGGAGATATTCTGAAACATTAAAATGAACAAACATGCAAACACTGTTGCGTTTTCACTGTTTACCGACTGAATTCATCACTGACTTTCAATTACATGTTAATTAACACTCAACAACACTCAATATATGAACTGGGTGTTTGTTTTTTTTTTTGTTCCAGATGGAGGATGTTAGTGTACACAAGTTGAGCAAATAGTCATTTACTGTACCAAATGTCAGGATGTTAAGAGATAATGCAGTTCTTGCTTTTTCTGCGTTTGCGGGTGTGCAACTGCCCGCTGCGGTTGGGTCCTCCCATCCCCGGGTTGTTGTACTTATGGACCAGCTCCTGGTTGCTGAGGTAGCGCAGCTGGATGGGCCTGGGGATCGGCTCACCCAGGAAGTAACCTTCATCCTCTGACTCAGAGGATGAGGAGCATGTGGAGCACCAATCATCGTCATCATAATCATCCCAGGAGTATTGGTTCAAGCCAGTGCGTCTGCTGGCCCCGGGGTTCTGTAGAGTTAGGTCTGAAGTGGTCCTTGGGCACTGCCTGAAGAGTTGGGGCTGATATCTTCCGCCTCCTCCTCCTCCGACCCCGAACTGCTCCCTGGCACTCCTTGGTGGTGGGAAGCGGTCGTAATCCTCTCGGACACGCAGCTGTGGTCTTTCTTGAGGTCTTGCCCTTCGCTCTGCCACCAAGTGGAGAGCGTTTTCTGAACGAGAACGTCGGGATCTCCGGGAGCGGTGATGGTGGTGCCGGCGCCTCTGTGGAGTCTCTTCTTGGGCATCTATCCGGATACTTGCTCCCCTTCCTCCACCTCCGCCTCCAACGCCACCCACCCTGCGCTCGCTAATGGGTGGCAGGCGTGCAGCATTGGCGCTACTCACCAAACTAATCCTATCCTCCTCTTGGAAGGTGAAGCCAGGCGGTAAGTGAGTCATGCCCATACCCACAGCCATGCCAGGAGGGTCACAGTACTGCACCTGGTACTGGGAGGACCTGGGGGGGTTTATTTCCATGTAGGCCTGACTGGCGTGGAGACTGTGAATTGACTCAGAGCTACGAAACTGCACTGAGGAGTTGAGGGTACCCATGTTACTCTTCTCTGACACATTCATTCCAGAGTCTTTGCTAAGATCCGGCATGGAGAAACGAGAAAGGTGCTCCTGACGCTTTCCACCTCCATCTGCTGAGTTGCCTGCAGGGAAATAGAGTTGCATTAGGCATGAACCTAGAGGAAACATCTTAATGAACAGAAAAACAGAAAATAATTTCAACTAAAGGTTGAACAACTGCTGCTACCAAACCCACCTGTAGCATTGGACAGAGCCAAGGACTCCATGGATCCTCTTGGGGTCTGCTCTAATGGGGTCAGTTGCTCTGTGAAGTTAAGTGCATTAATGGGGTTCCTGCTTCTTGCCACTTGGGTAGTTGCTGGAGGCCCTGCATCTCTATCCCTCTGAAAACCGTGCAAACTAATTGAGCGCTTGTCCGAGGAGAAGCCGTTGTGGTGCTGAGAGCAATGGGATACTTCAGTGAAGCTTTTTTGGGTCCTCAGTTTGGGTGGATAGTACTCCTCTGGAGCTGGCTGTTGGAACCATGTCTCATTCAGAGAGTGGCCCTTCATGGCTGAGATGGGGGGTCGCTTTAAACCTCCATTTTCCTTGATCCTATGATCCTGCTGTTGATTATTCTGTCCAGAGCAGGTGGGGTTATAAGCACTCCTGACATTACACTGGCTGAGGAGCTGGAGAGGAGTGGGGTTAGCAGTTGGATCAGATTGGGAGTCATAACTATAGCCATCACCTGCGTGCTCCTGGTTCTGCCAAGAAGGCGGCTCACGAGTCAAACTGGGTGTTTGGCTGGAGAGACTCAGAAGATCCATTTGTAAAGACAGTGGGTCCACCTCCCCCGAAAATCTTTCGGTTTGCACTCCACTCCCTCCTCCACCATTCTTTGCCATCTTAGAGCTGCGTCTGGACTCTCTGGTGGAGCGAGCGCTCTGGAAGGCTGAATCAGAGGAGTCAGAGCCATTGGGTTCTTCTCCCAGACTGCAGGAACGTGAGCAAAAGATTTGACCCTGCTTGGGCAGAAAAGGCCGACCCAGCAGAGAGCGCTTACAGCGAGCACAGCAGAAGCAGCCCTCTGTGGCGTGCCAGTGCTGCCCGTCATATGTCATCTGGCCTTGATCAATGCCTGCAGGAAAGAAAAACAACACATGATTCCACAGTGTTTAAGTAAAATGACAGATTCTGGGACTCATGTACAAACGCACAATTAAAATACTAAACATGATGTCAATATCAAAGGGCTGGAATTTAAAACTCTTTATGTCTTATTTAAAAATGCTGTCTTATGTGAAAATAGTTGCACATTGCAAGTAGCTTGTTGAGTGAGAAAAAGGAGCTAGAGGCAGTAACTTAACTGTGCTTTGGGGCGAACTCATTACGGAGCTTGCCCAGTATTGTATAAACACATAGCATTTCGAGAATGTTTCCAGTTGTCGCAGGGGGAAGGAAAACTAGCTATTTGCTAATGGCTGCCATCTGGTGCGAGAGTGTTTTCTGATGGTTTTAGTTTATATTAAGTTGTGTTTTTTTTTTAAGCCAAATTCTTTTATGTGTCCTGTCTGACAAATAATTACAGAGCAAATTTGTTGATAGATATGTGCCAATATCACACCTGGGCATCCTGTTGTGGAAAACATCCACACACAGACACACACAAGAGGTGCTAATATGAAAGTTTCCAGCTGGAAAATACCCCAGGTCCTTCTCTCAGTGTGTTTGCCTGTAAACACTTCAGGTTGTAAGATGTTTAAATGTGTGTTTACCTGACACTTGATGCACGTGTCTATGAGAAAAACAGATCCTGAGGTTGAAAAGTCAGTTGATACAGTCATGCCTTTGCCCCAGGTTGTTGTCATGCTACATGATGTATAGTGTATATATTTCTGTGCTCTGTAAACTGAGGTCTCTGCGGCCCTCAGCTGTGCACTCTTGCTGTAAATGTCTGACCATGAATGACATCATTCTATGATAAACCAGGCCACATCCTTACTACTCCACTTCTCTATTCCTCTGTGTTACCAAAAAATTAGGTCACCCTTTCATCCTTTTAAAAAACCTGCAGCCCAATCACCCCACACTTGATTTTTTCCATGTATGTAGCATTATAATATTAGATTTCTTTGGGCTTTTATAGCATGACCTGCTGATGATTAAAGCAGTTTGTATTAACTCAGGGAAGCTTGGTGGAAAAGCCGCATTACCAATATGTTCTCCGCAGGAGTCACAGTACTCTGCGTAGAGGGACTCGAAGCAGGAGCAGCAATAGGGCCGTCCCTCCTTCATGATATACCGCTGGCCCCCGAGCACCGTCTCACACTCAAAACAGCAGAAGTGCTTCATGTGCCAGTGACGACCCTCTGCCTCGGTGCACTCATCCGCAAAGATGATCTAAGAAAGGAGAGATAAGAAAGAGTTTCGTTTATCACAGCTCCGCAGAGGTAAAGCCTCAGTTGGGTTATTACAGTGTGCTGAATGACAGGACAAAGACTTCACTTGCCCTCCCTCCCCCTCCATTTGCACCACCTTCTCCTTTGCAGCTCTTAGATCATCCTCTTTGTTAGTGACTTGTGTAGGAGGCTAATATGTGTGGGGACTTGGTGAAATCTAGGAGGTGCATTTGCTTTTAATTACAATGCTGTTAAACTGTCGGGGTGCCTTTTAAGTACTAACGGTGTCCTTGTTCCCATTTGCAGAGTAAGAGAGTATATCAGTGTTAATGGTTGGGAGATCAGGATATTGAAAGCCGACCCCATTTAACTGCAGAAACCTCAGCGCACATTAAACTGTGACAGTGTGTGTGTTGTGAGCCTGTGAGCATCATATGACAGCAGTTTGGTATGTATGTAGGCATGAATGCGGGTGTGTAAATACTTTATAAATAGCTCTACCGACACAGTTACAGGCACAGTATGTGCGAGCGGGTGACATGTGTATCTATTAACACACGATTATCCATGTGCAGGCATGTGTGTCTTCATGTGACAGGCATCTACCTCATCGCAGGCAGTGCAGCGTGGCTTCAGCCTCTCGGCGTGGTGCCGGCCGCAGTAGATCTTCCCATCCTGGTAGAAGTAGATGAGGTCCACGAGAAGCTCGTTGCACATGCTGCAAACAAAGCATGCGGGGTGCCAACACACGCCATGTCCCGCCCGGGAGGCAAACACAGCGATATCACCGCCATTTATCTGGCCTCCACACTAAAACAAAACAAAACAAAACAAAAAAAAAAACAGAAAAGTTTTTTAGAAATTGCTTGTTGTCATGCATTTTTTTCAGTATCTCTCACACTTTAACTCCCACTTTCGATCCTAAAAGTCTGACATCTAAGCTCAGGGTAACTCACAATCTAGCCATCACTGGAACCTCTTCTTTGATGTGATAATGTAATGATCTGCACAAGAAGCGCTGTTAAAGCAGCAGTGTGCAAAAATTTTGATAAGGCAAAAAATTTTAAATAATAATATATTTTTGTTAGCCCCCAAAACCATTTACTGTTGTTGTGTTGGTGTTGTGTTGGTTTTCTAGCAAAACAATTTCCCTGAGGTTTGCACCGAAGGGATCAATAAAGTTTTATTCTATTCTCTTCTATTCTATTTGGACCAATGAAGCCAATGAACATTAAAGAGCCCATATCATACACATTTCCGGGTTCATATTTTTATATTTTGCACCTATTGGTATATGTCTACATTCTTTAATATCAAAACACTAATTGCTGCATCCTCTGTCTGTTTTAGCTCCTGTCTCTTTAAAGCCTTCTTCCTGAAAAACCCAGGTTGCTCTATTTGGTCAGCTTGCCTGACAAAAACAAGGTACATACATAACCTCAGCTCTGAAAGTATAGACAGAGATGTAGCCAAAGCAGATGAGGCTCTAGCGAGGACAAAATGACAGACTGAAAGGAAGCTGCTCATTTGTTGCTTGAGTATCTGTGCGGCAGTTATTATGCAAATGTGTTACATGGTGACATCGACGGGACGTCAGAAAAGCCTGGACTTCAAACAAGGCGTTTCAGGCAAGTTAGAAGCAGTGTCTTCATTGGAAGAGAATAACTCCCTTCAGTGTGACATTTTTGTTTTACAAGTAGAAAAAAGCCACAGCACACTAAGTGAAAGGGGAAAACCCAGAAAAGCCTCTGTCTCTCTCATGCAGCTTTTTAAAGTCTCCCAGAGGGGTATCAGTAAATTACTTTATTTTCAGTCTCTCATGTGAAGAGCCAGCAAAAAGTCATCCAACTCAGTCAGAGAATTTCTCTCTCGTGTTCACTCTCAAAGGCCAAATTTGTGAAAGCACGAGGAACCCTGAGAGCCTGTGTGCTTGTCGAGTAACGCTCTTTGGAACGAATAGACAGGGTGGTGTCTTGAACAGTTGTACGGTATCACTGATTTTCTTAATGTGAAGTCATTCCTGTTACAACAGGTTGTTGTGGGCAAAACATGAGACAGTGTTATCCAGTAGGCTGTCATTTATGAAGACAAAAACTGCACTGTAATTTGATAGAAATTACAGAGAAGTAGACTGTTGGAAAATTTGTGCTGACTTTGCTTGCTAGAGGATTGGGTCGCACTAATGAGAACTGCAGTAGACAGTCGCAAGTACAGATCACTTCATCTGGCTGTTTTGGTATAAAAAAAAAAAATGTTAGTTTTCAAAAGGAAAAAGGTTATGTCTAAGAAATGTTAAAGAGTCCAAAGCTCAAAGACATTCAGCATTTTTTTCTGAGAAGATAAAGCGCTCCTTTCATGGGATGCCTGATAACATCAGTACCAGCGCTGACACCGATCCGGTGTGTCAGATCAGCTCATTACTATCTTTAACACAATTTTGCATGACAACTGGGCTAAACTGGGTGTGTAGCTTGAGGAGGACGTGCCCAGACAGCCGGACGGACAGAGGAAGTTGTGTGGCCGTTGGAGGACGTTGGAGGGGCGAACGGGTGGAATAGATACAGAGAGATATATGGGAGGATAAAAAGGAAAGTGAGATAGGCATGGAGGTGTAAAGGTAGACAAGCTGGAAAGATAAATGAGAGGGAATGCAGCAGAGACAGGGGGAAAGGTCAGGTAGGCAAAGTAGATTTAGAGGGGTGGGAAGGTGGAGACGGAGGTAGAGTTACAATCAGGTTATCTGACTGGCACAAAGCCTACCGCTGCAAGGAGACCGGGGAGGTGGGGGGGGATTCAATCAATACCCACTCTCCCAACAATCTGCTCCCTCATGTGAGTGCGCTGATGTGTGTGTGTGTGTGTGTGTGTCTGCTAACTGGATGAGAAACACAAGCTGTAAAGCAGCTATACACCCGGGGCACCAACACAACAGAGAGCAACTCCACTTTGGTTGTGCGCACGGTAACAAATGGCTAGCGGATGCCGAAGTGTGCAGGTTTGTTGTTAAAAGGACACTCTATAGTCCCATAAGGCCACTACAAGAACACATGTAGGCAATGCTTTAAATATTTCATGAAACGCTGCGCACTCCTGAGGAACATTTCAGGAAGATTTAGAGTAGTTTTAACTATCGGCTCCCTGATGTAATGTGCAATGCTAGGTTTTAAATCAAACAAATACTGTTGGAGTCTGATAGATGGCGTGACAAGAAAGGAAAATGAGACAACATTCGCACAAACCCCTCCTCGAGATCCTCCGAAGAGCAAGACATCGAGGTGAGATTGACAAGGTCACAGCCTTGTTATAAAAGCAGATGCGTGTTACATCTCTGACCTTTTATATGTCACCACGGAGCACCTCTCATGCATCATAACAAATACCTGAAATGCCAGCAGGCTGCTAAGTATGTCACACGATTCATTGCTTTCATTCCACACGGCCACATGAAGCATCTTTGATCTTGTCATACTTGATTTACTTTAGTCGTAGTGCAGAAGACATTTAGAAATGAAGCGACGAGACAGTGCAAAAATCGGGTTTTTGATATTTTTATCAGCTACCTGTTCGCAGATCGCTCCCGTCATCGTCACGGGGAACGGACGGACATTGCCGCGACCCAGATTCTCTCGTTTCCGCTGGTTGCTGAAGAGCTTAAGTTCTCGCTTCTCCTCGTCGTCCAGACCGTTACAGTAGCGCACCTGCACACAAATACGTATACAAATGCTCAGCCTACATTTTTAAAGTTTTTATGCAGACACAGAAACTTTCATGTAGTTATCTGAAAACAGGAAGACAAAGATGCAAGAAGTCATTTTTCGATCTATTATTCTTTCCAAGAAACTCAGATCTTCGGCTTTGTTTTTGCTGCAGGAATTAAAAGCAAAAGAAGAAACGATCTGACAAAGAACCAAAAAATGACAAAGTGTGATGGCCTTCATAATGACAATGTGAATCAAGATCTCGGAAATCACAGCCCACATCTCAGCAGATCCGATGTTATGCTCACTGCATTTGTTCAGTTAGAAAAACAATTAACCATTCAGATTAGCAGGCAAAAAAGGGTGCCAATCTTCTCACAGATTGTACCAAGTCTTAATGGCAAAACTAATATCACAAGATTAATTACCTGTGGTAAAGATTTATGAATGAAACACACTTTAATAGGCAGCTGCAAACACTTCAATATCTCACTGTCGCCCATTAAGAAGACAGACTCCATTTTTCTAATGTCTGTCTCCTCCCTGCTCCCCTCTTATCTCTGTATTGCCCCGAAGGAGGGGAGGGAGGAAGGGAGGAAGCGGTAGATGGATGGATTGAGGTGTTGGGGGAGGGCATCAGTTTGGACTCTCACCTCATTGTCGTGGGGCGGGAGCTGATGGAGCAGCTGTTTGATGCGGTATTTCTCTCCTGGGCTGTTCACGTAGGGCACCTTGTCCTCGGGCAGAGAGCTGTAGTACTGATGAACCTGAGGACAAGATGGACGCAGGTGAGATGGATGAAGAACCACAACGTGATCGCAACATGTAAACTAGTTGCCAAACATAAAATACACCCAGTCTGCACAATGTGGTATTTTCATTACCAATTAAACTCTCTATTGTTATTCTAGATTCATTGATGTTTTAAAGAAGATGGTTCTTCTCTTTCAGTTCCTTTTTTCTCTACAACAACCAAAAAACCCTTAACGGATTCAATTTATTGCAAAAGAGAGAGAGAAAAAAACTGTCAATTTTCAAGTTTGAGCAGCTTTTAATTCGATAAATCACTCAAAACGATTAGATCATTGTTAAAATGTTGCTGATTAATCGTATCGGCACTCAAATGTTCACACGTGGAAAGACAAACGATCAACATCTACAGCTGGGGGTCACCAACACACATGCTCACAGAGTTAAAATCACTTTGATTTATGGCCCACCAGTGGAGACTTAATGGAACCTCACCTCTCCATCTCTGCACATTGACACGGGAATGTATTACGGATCTGCCAAACGTGCACACACGTACACACTCACGCACACATAAATACATGAACAAAGTAGTGATTAGCACATATGCATGCAGCGGTGGACGTGCACACGAATGCATGCGGCGGCAGGATTAATGCTAATCTGGACGTTCCGAATTACTCGGACATTCTTTACATTACCGAGGCAGACAATGAGTGTCATCTCCGTGTTATTTATTGCGGTCTTTTTTATTACACTGTAACAGGGGGGGTCGGGGTATAACAGAGGTCAGCAGTTATATATGAATGTGACTGGAGGGGGGTGAAGCAAACCAAGAAAGCCACAGGGTTTTAAAGGAAGATTTGAGGACAGAGGTCAAAAAGGGAAATGAATGAAAATATTTAAAGAGTGAAAGCAGCACAAAGAACACGATCGTCTTTGATTAAACGAAACGTACAACAATAACAGAGCAGAGAACACATCGAGGACTTTCAAGAGAGACAACATTCATGATCGATACTTGCTGACTAGGTCGTGTTTCTTTTAATGACCTATCGGTCTGCTGAATGGATTTACCGACTAGAAGCCATCAGCTTTGTCCTTGGCAGTAACACAGAGTCTGTCACACAAAAACAGATTAACCCGAATAATGCAGACATGCATCAGTGAGTGTAAAAAACTAAGTATTTCTGTAAAAGAAAAGCGTCACATAGTTTAATAGTTCTAAAGCTGTGGCGTCACATTCAGCATCAAAGACGGCCTACGGGTCCTTAAAGTAGCCTTATACAAGCATATTTGTTGTTGGGATGAATTTATAGCAGGAGTTGCTTGTTGGAAGTGTAACCTAATTCCTTCTGCTCTGCTTTTGTTGGCTTCCACTGGGGTTGGCAAGGGACCCGGGATCCGTGTCCAACAGCACAACTCAGGACGGACGCCGGGGGTGGGGTGGAATCTCAGGATAGTCCATGAAAGACTGACTGTGGCCGAGCACTGATAAATCACGCATCGCATAAACACAAAAAGGAAAAACACACGCACACATATACACACACCTCCTGATGCACACTGCTAATGATAAATCACGAAACATGCTTCCAACAACAACAGGGTTACAATCTGGAGGTGAAAGGCACACTGCCCCAAGGAAAAGATCTAAGGACAGATACACACACACACACACAAATGCGTACACATTATACACACAAATTTCCAGCGAGAGCCGGGAGAAGCAGCTTGTGATAATAACTGTAATCGAAAGCAGACGAAACTAAAGACAGGGCAGAATTTCAAACTGTACTGGAGGGAGTGTTTTTAAAAGCTAAAGCAAAGGGTAGGACTTTGCAAATGAGTGACAAGAGAGATTGCTTCTCACAGCTGGTTTCTATTGCTGTTAATGGCCAGACAGGCAGAAGAAAAGACAAGGACCAGGCACCAGTTCTAACCTTCTCTCAACAAGCCACTTTGCAGCGGTTTGTAGACACAGATATTACACCGAAGAGAAAACACTGGCAGTTACAGTCAAACATGGTGGGAGAGATGGTGTTTTGATACCGAAGACAGAGGATTTAATATCTGTTTTCATTCTTTGTCCTTTTCTTCTCACATCTTTGCTGAGATGCGTGAATGCCGAGAGCTCAGCAGTGTGGTCAGCAGTTACAGGTCAGCATGCCAACACTTGCTAATTGTCACTAAGCATGGAATAAAACTAGGGTTAAGCCTCTCAACCCCAACACCTGCAAGCAAGTTTGAAAGGCATGTTATCCTTTTAAAATTACACTAGTTTTCCATCTTTTTGATCACCATCCAACTAGTCGTGTGTGGTGTTGACAAATCACTTTATCAAAATTCTAAATATCTCACTTCAAATCTACCTAGACTGTGCGAAAAACATAAAATCTCCTTGGTGCAGCTGTGAAGCCATTACGACTCAGGTGTGACCAACAGTCATGTGATAAGAAGTAAGGGACTTTTAGATGGGAGACAAGCATGGAAACTAATGTAAGCAGTACAATATCTATAGTATGTAGAGCCACATTTTCCTCCCCAATATTAGTTACACATTTGGTCATTTCATCCATGTTGATTCCAGATAGCTTAAATATATGTGAAATAAATAATCAAAGAAAGGTTGTTTTTTTTTTTTCTTAATGATCGAAGAAATGTCAACTTTGTTCTACTGCAAAAAGACATTTTTCGAGTCCTCTCTACTTAAAGCCATGGTCGTGCTGTTGCCATAGAGGTGCCGGATTTTATATTGCTGTATATATTGCTGCTATAACTGTATTCAAAATGTGACAGGAGCCAAAAACCTTCAGAAGCATCTTGGGGTTAAAAAGTTTAATGGAACTATCATCAGTTTTGAAGGCATTTGGCCATAACATGGCTACAGAGTGACACTATATAAAAGGTTAAGAAAATCTCAATGATCCATTCTGAGGGGAACATGACTCATACAATTTTTTGGCAATCCATCCAGTAGTTGTTCAAATACTTTACTTAAAACCACAAATGTCAGCCACACAGTAGAGCTAAAAGGAGAGCAGGAGCAGGGGAACACTTAAGTCAGAAGGCTTCATCCTCTGGAGAACATGCATTTTTATACATTTTCAGTCTGGGCCAAAGTCAAACACAAAGTCAGACCACCCAACTGACGTTTCCATCTACTGACCTATCATTTATCTCTTATTCACAGCTGCTGGCTGTAATCAGGCCAGAATCTGACAGTTTTATTGTCCTTGATCTCAGATTGAAATGGGTCTAATTGTCCTCGGGTCCATTTTGGAACGGGTCGAACTGACCTCAGCTCTCTTTCGGGCTGTTTCTTTGTAGCTTGAAAGTTAATTATCCACTTCAGAACCGTGGGTCCATTTCAGAACCTGGAAAGACCTCTAGTTTGTGTGAACAACCTTGAACAGCATTTCTACTCAAATATCCCACATGTAAGCAGCTTGAAAAAGCATACCACATGTTTGACTGCAAACAAAAATCTGATTCTTGTAGACGCTGAACAGAGTCTGCAGATTAGACTGAAGCTGGGAAACAAAAGAAAACACCACTTGCAGGTGAATGCTGGGTAACATTCTTGGCCTTAAAAAACCTAGCTTGGCAAAATCCAAGACTTTTATTTGGAAGGATGAAGGGAAGAGAGCAAGAGGACTAGCAGAGGAGAAAATATTGGCACACCTTCCCTTTTCCTGCAGCTCAATAACATGTTCAGCACACTCAGTAAAGGCTCCATTTGGTGATAAAGATTTGTTTATTGAGTCTGCGTTTTACCAATACCCTAGTGAAATGTAGAGCTTAGGTTCGAGACAGATACCTGGACGCACTGGTTTGTTGACAGAAACTGACTACTAAGTGCTGAGTTATCCCCATAATCCCACAGATATGTTTGATTGAATGCCACAGTCCTGCTTGGAAATCTCTCGTTACAGAGTGGTGACTTTACACCACTGCAGGCTGAATAACAAAGAGATACAGAGCGCTGGTTCCCTACGGAGAAATATAAACCCACTGTTTAGATCCTGGAGCTTTAGCTTTAGCTTTGTGTTTACATCCGCTCCACTGTGAAAGGTCACACAACAGGTTTCCACAGCCTGAATATCCTGCCGTGTCACGCTGTGTACAGAAATTGCTATAATGCAGGACACATTTCGTATAGGCGTGGCTATTATATACACAACATTTCGTCAATTTGAACTTTGAATTGAACTATTTTTGGATTACTTCAGACAATCAAGAGAGGAAATAAAAAAAAAAATGTAGTTATTTTGAGGGCTGTTCAGCATTGTGCTCCTGCTATACCACCAAGCCCATTTCTCATTATTGCCCAACTGTTCCTGAGGTCGTATCGCCACTAGACGAGTACCTAATTGACTTCGGGGTTATAAGTGTGACCCTGGAGACGGATGAAAAATAGCTGCTCTCAGTACTTCGAGGTGAAGCCAGGGGGCTGTGCCAACAATGTATTGACCAGCTCATTGCTCTCAGCTCATCAACAAAATGGAACCACCCTCCATAAACACTTCTATTGTCCTATAGAACCAAAAAAAAACCTCCCACATGTGCACACCTCCGATTCAGAGGAGTATAGTAAAAAGAGGATTTTCTTGCATGGGGCCATTAAATGGGTTTCTGTATTTGGCACGCTCAGCTTAGTGGCTGTGAGGGCGATGAAACCCTCTGTAAACATGTTTGCAGGCAGAATGAATTGGAGATTAATTTGACTGCTGCAGCCACATAATCCTTGTTATCCATTAGCCTGCAGAAGGCGCAGTCAGCATAACAGATATGCTATGACATGGTGACATGCAGGTCTAAGTGAACACTTACAAAGTATAGGCATGATGTGTAACAAAATACACAGTGGAGTGTGAGGAATTTTTATTAGGCTTACACCATAATGTACTCTGACTGTATTACATTTTATAACTAAAACCTGCCCGTGCATATCTCTGGAATCTTTTTCCCCACCTGTCTGGCCTTTCACCCACACTGAGATATGCTATAAAACAACAATCTTTTCCAAGGACCTTTTCCTTGATGTATACATTTGAAATGGCTGAACTGACACTGTGGGGTGTATGAGGAAATCTGAGCTTTCAGAGTGGGATTGTAATATGATCATTGGACTCTCATTGTCATCTGATCCATTTTTAAGTGCCCCGACTTGCTAAAGTATTCTTTGCTGCTTTGGAAACAGCAAATAATACTTTGAAACAAGAGGAAAGACACTTTCTGAGTTTGTCACAAAGGATCGTACTTTTGACACACAAACTACATCTTCAGATTCACACAGCAATGAATGAGTAAAAGGATGCAGTCATTACACAATTGAGCACAACAGATGACCAAAAACATGCAAAAAGAAAATGTTTGACCACCACTAGCAAGACTAAACACTACACTTGACACATATTTGACAGATTTCAGTGGTCCCAGGGCCAATGTGGTGAGATTAGAATAAAAGGAAACATTTTAATACCTGTTCAGGTTTGAGTCCTGGCGGTACCCAGGCGTACTCCTCCAGGGCACAGCCTGAGTCGTCATCGGACGTAGAGTTCCTCTGGAAGTCGTACATCAGCTTGGTGACCGTCTTCTCCATCTCTACAGGCATGGCTGTCACTGCATGCTCCTCACGGCGACACTTACAGTGCACACAGATCTTCCTGCCATGGACAAACACAGACAAACAATATGTTAAGCCAATGACGTATGTACATAACACAAAGACAGTCTCGGATTAGAAATGAAAGCTCATCATCCTTTTAACTTGTGCTCCCTGAAAAGTGTGATTTGTAGTTTGACAGTAACTGCAGTAGAGTTCAACTCACAATATCCCCAACTAGACCACCATTAGGGTGAAAACAAGCACTCAGCTTAATAAATCACTATGCAAACAGAACTACATTTGGATAGAATTTCAAGAGAAACAAGACGTCATGCTGCAGTTGCTGTTCAGATCTCTGAAGTGTGCCATTAATCACAGAAAATAAAAAAATAACCCAAATTGTTTCTTTCCAAGGTAACCCCAGAAAAGGAAACTCCATCATCCAAACTATGTGGCTGTAGGCATACTGAAGCCTCCCCTTGGTGAAACTCTTTTCTTCTGCACATGTTTGCAGACCTTCCCCGCGGTTGAAAGGTCAAGGTTTCCCACTGCGGCTCTCACATTGAAATGCGGGTGCCACAAACGCACTGCTGAACAATTCTCTGGGGTACATAAAGATATAATTACAAACAGACTAGGGGAATTAGCAGCATAACGCCAGTGACAGTGATGTAAAACAGCACTGTACAAACACACCAACACAAAAGCCTTGTGTACAAGGTTAGCGAGAAACACTGGCAAATGCTTTGCCAGGATACCACTCCGCTCTGACTAGCCAAACCGACCCACCCACCTGTGAAATGGAGAAGCAACCATGTGTGAATTTCCATAGAAAAGACGGTTGAGAGGGTTTGACACAGACACTCAACGTCCTTGCTGCTCTTTCATCTCCAAACACGTCCAAAGACTTAAAACACCGGACTGTTGTCCTCCAAAATACTCTTAAAGGGCTTAGGAGATGTCTCAGAAAAGAAGAACAAGATGTGGGTTACACAGCTGAGTGCATGGATTAAAATAAAAATATAGGCCACCATCGCCAGATCTGTTTTCTGATGCAAACGGTGTACACAGCCCACACGTACGGATCCCTGTGTCCTTGACGGCTCTAAACCCTGCAAGTGGAAACTGGGTGGCCAGAAGGTCACATCCCACTAACCCTTGATGCCCCTCAGGCAGCCAAAACAGGGAGACAATCCCATTACCTTCCCAGATGGATGCCGGCCTGTCTGACAGACAGCAGCCCTACGGAGGAGCTTAAGGACACTCAGGACGCTGTTTGACAGACTGACGCCTTGGTTGGCTGAGGATCTGTCTGGTAGTGTGCTGTGCTACATAGAGAGTGGTTATTTTCATGTTTCAGTTTATGGCCTGAGTACACATTTCTTGCAGACGTTTTTTTAACCTTAGCTGTTGCTCGAATGACTGTCGGGAACTCACTGACATTTTGGTTGCATATATGCACCACATATTTGCTCACCTTGGATATTTCCATAAAGTTCAGCCGTTCTCAACTTTCCCCTGTAGTGGAGCTGGACATTTTTGAGTCTGTTCAGCTCATCGGGGGGCGCAGGACTGCAAAATCCTGTCTCATTCACAATGAATAGCAGTTGGCCTTGTCCCAGCTTTTTGAATGCGTGAACTGCCTGTTAGTGTAACGTAAATGGAGAGCAGACATTACCATATGGAGGGCCGGCCAAGTCTCATCTTGTTTCTTACTCAGAAGAGCGCTTCTTGTCCAAAGGCCTTAGTCAACAAAGAGCTTCTGTCTATTTGACTTAGCACTGATGGATTATGATGACAGAATGGACATTGGAAGTACAGCTTGAGTTAGTACAAGTAAAACATCCCGCTGACATGCCACAACTAGTCATACGAAACATAATCCTTAAAAACAAAACATACAAATATATAGGTCAAGGTGGATCATTTCTCAATCAGCACCTGAGATTCTTTACCATCGAACAGGCTATTACTGCCAGCTCCAGCTTTCAACACCACCCTGTGCAGAACGGCAGACCTCTGCAACTTCTACTGTCATTGTGGAAGGGCAACTCGCAGACTTCACAAACTGACTCCATAAATATTAACAAAATACACCAGGAGGCCAGATATCCCTTCCATGAATATTGCAGGACGGACAGATAAAGTCATCAAAGCCCTGTCAAGCAGGCAGACTGGAAGAAGGGTGTTTTGCAAATCCCAGTCCCAGCGGCATGATGCTATAGCCAGGGGCAACACAGCTTGCCTCATTACGGCCCAGCACCTTCACCATCATTACTAATTTAAAGCTGATTTGCTGGATGGTACACACACCAACACCGCATGCATCCACAACAACACACACTCGTTGTGAGGATGGCAAATCAAAATGCAGGACAGATGCACCACATGTGGAGATACAAGGGATTAAGAAAATGTGACACTTCTTCTACTCATCTGACATGTTGCCAGGTTGTAAGAAGTTATTTCTGCCTTGGGCTGAGGAGGGAACTTCGAAGATAGGAGTATAGAAATGGACCTGAGTGGACCTGAAACCACAGTCTATCACATCAAAAACGTCTCCGCCCCACACCTCGCCTACTGCAGTCTGTGGAGTTCAACTGGAAGGCACAGAAGCTTGTGACCTTGAGAGAGACATCCCTCTCTGACCCACTCCCTCAATGTCCGGATGTGTGATCAGGACACTCCTGCAGTGATTCACCTTACAAACACCGTGATCTTCCTACATCTCCCACAGAGATACCGTAGACCTAGAGGGCCTGTCGCTCCTTCCTTCCCCTTCTATCCTCGTGATTTACAACCTGTTTCATGAACATGCCTGGGATTTCCCCTCCAATGAAACTCAATCCCTGAGCTTCCCCTTGGAAGCTACATGATTTCAATTAGATCAGATTTAGGGACTCTGGTAATACAAGTCAAGTACATCACGGACGCCTCATAAATGACTCAGAGGTAAAGCGGCTTGTTTTCCCTTTTAAATGAGAATGGCCTTTTTTTTTCATCCCCTGGGAGATGTAAATGCTGATCTATCACTGGTCAGCTGGAGTGTGAGGTTTGCTTAAGACCTGGGGGGTATGTTTTTGGATAGCAAGCACTGTGACCATGATGTCAGTGGACAATGATTCACTGTTTCGAGTTAATTATCATCATCCTGCTCTCCAAGATTGGCCCTGTAACCCGGGCGATGGGTGTTTTTAATACGTAACTAGGGTCTAATGGGCCCCTCGGACAGTTGCATGGAGTTGGTTCAATTGTTGAAGGTTAACGTTGCAAGATCTTCAGCAGGCTCTTTACACGCTGTATTGGAACCAGGATCAAATCAGCTATCTCAGTAAATGTGCATCAAAACAAAACAAATGAACAAGACAAGTCAAAAATAGGGCTTTTGTTCGAATCCTAATTTGAAGTTCTTCAGCAGTCATTGATTAAAAGCCTAAAAGCTCATCTCTTTTTGAATATAATCCTTTCATGACCTAAAATGGTTGAGATGCAACTCTACACTGTTGCTTCCTCTATGATGTGTTTGTTGCAGCTCAAGCACACCAGCTCACCGACCTCTCTGTTCAACACTGTAAAACTGCTCTGCACTACACAGCTGAAAGATGCAATATTGGAGTAACTTAATCATGCTTGTTCACACTGGAAACCCATTCCGAAGAAGAATAGACACTCAGTTTTGCCATGTATGAAACCCTAGAAGCCTGAATCTATGTTTTTCAGATTATCATCCGCTTGCTGGTTTTGAATGCTTATGTTGCTCACTATATGTGTTCAGGCATATAAAAAGCACCATACGAACAAGATGGAAAAAACTTGATTTTCACCAAAGGGGGTCTTTAAAGAGTACAGTTTGGAAAGGATTTTGACCCAAACTTTACAAAACCATCACATCTAAGTGTATCCAAGACCCAGTCGACATACAGAAGCTAAAGTCTCATTCCGCTCTCATTCCTGAACAGCTCCCAAAACCACTGTAGCTTTTCCATGGCATCACTCTGGACGGTCAGATTAAAATCTCATCTTTAAATGGCAGCTCTGCACAAAAACAAAGCTTGGAGGATAAGAAAGGAGAGCACAGAGGAGAGAACAGCTGGGTGCAGGAGGCCGCCAAGTCTCGTCTTTTTTCTCCTTCCTGACTCTACTTTTGTTTTCTTTGGTAGAAGTAGGGGGAAGAGGACAGACTCTTTTCTCTTTAACTGTCCTTTGTTTAGCAGATATAACATTTCCGTTCAGAGTTTAAAGCTGCTGTCTAATAAATAGCCCTGCTCTCACAAATGCCCAATATACACACAAACAAAGCCTTTGTACCTGTGAGCTCCGTGTTGACTTCGGAGCCATTAAGAGTTAATCACAGATAAACATGACGGAGGTGTTCCTGACAAGAATCAGGCCTGACAAAGACATTTTCCATTAGGGGCCAATTAGCCAGGACCTGATGCAACGTGTTGCTGAGTACAGAGATTAAGCCTGCAACCACCTGTCATAACCAATTATAGACATCCAAAGTCCTGCCCTCTTTCCAACTGGCCTCTGGTTCATACTCTAATGGACAGCAACATATATGTACCTTTGTACTTCAACAAAAAGGACACTTTACTGATTTCCCACACTAAATTCATTTTATTTGCTACAAAGACTTTCCCACAGTCAGTGGAAATATCTGTGTATTATCTTTTATGGCTCTGAACAGGGTTTTCCAAAGTTTGAAAACATAAATCTGATGACATTGTCTTGGAATCTAATGCTACATTAAATGTACGTTGAATTTATGTCATTTTTGAACTCTACACATTCAATGTACAAGATGGAAAAAAACAAAACATTACTGCCTCCAGGTTTTCTTTGTTGCTCTTCTATGAACACTCATCAACAGACATGTCGTTCACTTAACTGAAGAAACAGAAGAGGAAAAAAAAGGCCCAGTAGGTGGAATGTCTAATGAGTTGGACATTTAACTCATTAAATGTGTGTTTTCTTACAGTTTACTGTGTATGCTGATATTTTGGGGAAATAAGTAAAATTCAGATGTCGAGGTTAAGAAAGCTTACCTGTGTGACAGAGTAGGAAATATGGTTTTGACTGGCATTTTCTTTGATTTCTTCCAGTCAGATAATCACAAATTCCAAGCTGTACTTAAATGCCGCAATATGAAAGATGTTTTTCAATTTCATTATGAGAAGTGAAGGCCAGAGTTCTAAAGCTGGACCCATATTGAAGAACAAAGTTGAATGTTTAACCCCTTGTGATTCAATTTAGATTTTTTTTTTTTCAAGCTGCCCATCCTCACTGATACAACACAGTTGTAGCTGTAGGCTACCTTTAACGGTGAATCACTAATAGTCATTTAATCCGTGTTTAATTACTTTTTGTTGTTCAATACAGCAGCCAATTAAGGTGAACAGAAAACCATGTTTCATGTGTAATGCTTAGTTCACACTACAGGAGTTTTGGGCCGATGTATCCCAGTTTCACCCGTCCAGACAGTCGGAAGAGAAATCTGGTCTGGGATCTTGGTCTGAGTCAATGTTTGGCCCAGATCATTTGGCCACGTGAGCTGTTTGCAGATCCGGTCCTAAACCTCCTGACCTGCTCGACTGTGGGAGTTTACAATCCAACCTGTAGTATCTGATGAGTGCAGACAGGTACTGCATATCCAAGCATACACTTAATGGTCAAAGTATTTTTATTGTTAAACTTCAAATATGCAAGAAACTGAGCTCTGTCCTTCCTGCCACTCAGGTACTTCAAAATGCCCTCCTCTCTCTTTTAAAGTACAGTATTTGTGAGGGATGGGAGAGAGATTTACATAACATCAGACCGGGACACTTTTCAGCCACACCATACATAAGACTGGATCGCATTACTTATTCACTGGAAGTTGACTTGCTCCATAAAGTGACACTACTTTGGATGAGGTTGGAGGTCGTGGACGGGGCAGGCTTTCAAAACAAGCTCTGTACAGACTGTAAACCATAATCAGACACCGCAGCAATCTGGTGACAGGTCATTAGTAAATCTTTGAGCCTTCGGTCTACTGTGCTCGGATATATTTTTGGAGAAAATACCAGCATTTCTGCCACTCCTTCTAAGAATGTTGCTGTATTATTATGTTGACTTTTCTCTCAATGTGTCAGTGGGGAAAAACGCAGTAACCAATAAGGACCAGAATTTTTTCCAGAGGCAGTTGTGGATGTCAGAAATAATGTTGGTCTGGCGTAAAGGCTCCTGTCAGTTTTGTTAATGTTTGGACTGCTCAGACCTGAGGAGCCCAGTGATTCTGCAGCCAGCTGCTAAAACCACCACATTATTCATTATTTGTCTGTCAGCCCATTCATGTGCTAATCCTGTGGCCCTTTTCACGACTAAAAAAAAAAAAGCATGTAATAAGTAAACCATCCTAAAGAGTTAATTAGCCTGTATCAGACCCTGCAATGTTTCCCTTAAAACAACTGCTATGGAGCTGTGATCACTTGTTTCCAGTGTAGTCTGCAGCAAAATACAGGAAATATTTAAAACCTTTGAAACAAGAGGATTCAAATAATGACAACGAACTGGAGGAACATCCAGAAACAAGTTGCTGTGAAGAGAAATAAGCTCATTTATGGATCTGTGTGGTCACCTTTGAGTAGACAATCCATATGGCACAGAGGCACACGGTCCACAGCACACATTAGCCTGACCATTGCGCTACAGGGGGTGGGGAGGGGGATAAACCGGTGAGAACACGTCTACAGAGAGAAAACTGCAGTGAGAGTTCAACAGATCTGCATTTTTAGTGGTGTTTGCTGTCAAAATAAAACCCAGTTATGAATAAAGAGCCAAAAAGGATCTTAAAGAAAGAGATAGTTGGTTAAAAATCCCACAGATGCCAACAAAATAGGCCTTAAGATTTAGTCCTGACACGCACAGTTGAAGGAAAGTGTTAAAATCGGACACAAACTCGAGTTCATGAGCGCACGCATTTGTGGCACAATCTCCGTTCCATTACGCATTTGAAGTCCCCAGAATTGCTCTTCCCTTTCAAAAAAACAACAACAACACACACACAAACGATCAATAATCTGCTGCTTACCTTCTTACAAACTGCGGCGAAGAGAAGCCATAGCCGTGACCCGGGTGGTTGTGGTGTTGCAGCTTCTAAAATACGCGTTCCTCATTGCAGGATTTTGCCACACAACTCCAACACAGCCACAGCTTCGCCACGAAAACACACAAGTCTCTCTCCCGCTGCGCGACCCGCACCCCTCTGCTACATCTATCCTCCCGTCCGTTTAAACGCCTTTTGTCAACCCCCCCTGCTCTTCGCCGATACGCTCAGGAGTTCTGCAAGCGAGGCGAAAGCGCAGGCAGAGTAAAGTGCGTAAAAATAATAATAAAAGATAAAAAACAAAAAAAACAAATTCCGCTTTGCAGTAAGTCTCAGATCCAAATAACAGCGCAGATTCCAGCAAAATTATTTTCAATCCCAAACGGATAAATCGGAGATCTCCTGTGGTGGTGAAACACCGAGTGTGACTGAGGCTCCGTGCGGTCTCTCGGTGCGTAAAGGCACGGAGTGCCTGAGTGGCTCCGCTTGCTGCTGACCAACCTAGTGAACAGCAGCGCTTTAATCCTGAACACGTGTCAAGTGCCCACAGATTACTAGATCATTTCTGGTTTGCCCTTTCAAAATAAAAGCACTGTTTGGAAACGTCTTAGTGTAAAGTTGGTGAGGTGTACAGTTTAATCTACTGAACTGGCTTATTGGGATTTGGTTATGAGTTCAGGTTATTCATTTATATATGGATATTAAAATGTGCCTTTTTTTGGACAAGAAATTGAATGTTCAGTAACTTTAGTATAATTAATGAGGCCATTAAAAAATCCATCTTTATACTATGTTTATTTTTTTCCTTTTCCATTTTTGGGTCCTCTTAAAAAACACATTTGAGTTCTGTTAAAAACCACATCAATGTCATCTCCTGACATTATAAAATTAGGAGTGCAAAATTTCAAACCACCCTCAAGTATTTTAAGGGCCCGTGACTGGGAAAATATTTAAAGCGTTAGGGTAAAATTTTGCATGGCTTTATTAAGTACACTTAAGTCATTGTACATTAAAAATCAGCTGATTCTGAGGGAGTCAAGTAAAGAGGCACCATGTTTCAAGGAATTACTATTTATCCGGTGAGGAAGGGTGACATGCATGAAAAAAGATGAACTCTGAATTAAGATTTTATTTTTTACTTTTTTAAAAAATACTAAAAATTAAACTTCTGTTTTTAAAGATCAATGAAGAACGTCCACATATATCTAGACCCACAACTATTAAGTGGGCTTCAAGTTAGGTTTTTTGGCCAAAAGACATGGTGATAAATGTTTATCCCAATTAATAAAAAAAATAAACAAATTTTAAAAAGTTTTTAAAGTCAGTTCTAACAGTATGTGAGTGAGCAATAAAAATATTCTTGCTCTCTCTGAAAGCATCCCTTTCAACTAAATAACTTAAGAAACTTACTTAGACAACACGGTAAATATATTTATTGTGGCGTTGATTTGCTGCATTTACAGTTTTTTCTTTTGTGCTGCAACACTTTAAACAAAAATCTGTCTTCATCTTAATGATCATATTCCAATTATGTTTTAAATGTATTTAACACTCTGATTCCAAATGGGTTATATGAGAACTATTAGGGGATGTGAAAGAACTGTAACAGTAATTTTGCGTGTTGTAATTACATTTACAACAAACTTATCATTGGTAACCCCTTGACAAACCAGTTATTTTTACTTTGGATTTGACTTCTATCCATTTCTGTACAGTGAGAGTGAGAATCAACGCTCCATCAGAACGACTCATATTTAAAACTTTTTGTTTGAAGGTACACTTGTTAACTTCCTGTCTTATTCTGGGCCTTCTCTGGTTGGCTTCACACAGGCACATGCACACACACACACATACACACTCGGTCCACTATGGTAATATCCTGGTGTGATGATGTCAGCAAGTCAGCATCCCAACATTGGTGTAATTAGCAGCGTGAATGACTGGTGTTCTGACAGAGATTTGCATGTGAATTAAACCACTTCCCTGAATCAACTGGCTCAGGGCAAGAAGAGGGGCAAGAAGAGAGCCTGAGGGGGGTAGAGGAGCAGCAGGATGCCGGCCTGCATGGGGAAATGGCGAGGTGAAGCCCAGTGAAACAAAACAGCGCTGTTTAACATAAGAAGCGGACATTAACCGGAAAAAGGACAAAGGACTTACAGACCAATAAAAATCCGCCGATCAGAAACAAATGTGAAGCCAAATTAGGAGGATCTTAAAACCCCAGTGGCCTACTTCCCCCAGTCTATCAACAGGGTGCATTAGTATTACAGCATCTGCGTTATTTGTTGTGTTAAGCAGTTTGTACTCCAGCTTCTAATCGCATTTTGTCTTGGAAAGTGCTACAGCTGATCAAAACACTGTCGCCTACAAGGAAACTAGATGAACACAGGAGATCATCTATTATCAGCTATCAATGCAAACAGCACGATGCTCCCCAACAGAGCTGCCACCATTTCAGCTATTTCGCTTTCCGTCCCAATCTCTCAAACGCTGGCTTGGCTCCGCGTTCTGCTGGGCGGTCGCTCCTCTCCTCCTCCTACAATGAGTGGTAGTGTTTAACATCATCCCACTGCTGCTCCTCATTTGTTTATTTATGTAATTCTCAAATGTGTCAAGGAACAGGGAAAAGCACCCTTAAGTTTTTCTGGCAATCAAAACTTAACAGATTTGTGGAAGATTTCAAAAGGCAACTTGGAGGATGGAAAGCACGAGAGTGGGTTGGAGAGTAATTAAATTAGGATTTGTGTATCAAGTGCCCCACTGCTGCCGCTTGGTCAAACATGAGTAAAAAAAAAAAAGAAGAAGAAAAACAAACAGAAGAGGGATCCTGAAAGGAAAACAGAAAACCTTGCTTTGAAATAACGCTGCACAACCCAAGCGGCACGAGGAAGAATTTTTTTGCCGCTGCAGCCGAAAACAGCCGGCAGCTCTGAACAACCTCCTCAGTTTTTGAGGACAGCACTGTGGTCTCTTTTCTGCTTTCAGGAACTGTTCCTCTGGATTCTCTGGAGTCAGCCTAAAGCTCTGGTTTTCTTTTTAGTGAACGCCGTCTTTCTGACCCGGAGCCTCCTCTCACGCGTGGCTGGGCGGCTCTAGCTGTGTCTCTTACTTCAGAATGTATAATCACTGACTCTTTACAAACATAAGAATATCGGTTACAGCTCTGGCTGCACTTCAGGCCACTCCGCAGGATTTTACAAGAAGCCCTAAGAGACGGCGTCCTGACCTTGTTGCAAATATACAACGCGTGAACTGGTTCAGGCCCAGCCACCTCCCTCAATCGGTCATTCCCTTTTCCCTAATAAACGGTTTCCAGACCTGCAGCGAGCCGTTTCAAATGCCACGAGGGGACTGAATAAAATGGTAGAGGCCAGCTTGGGGGACATACCACAGATAGCATTGCCTGCATAGACTCTTGGCATGCACAGACAGTCTCTGCTTGGTAATTTTAGACAGTGAGCCAAACAGGTTTACTCCCTTCCTAAGCATGCATAAGCATATTGTAGCTTTTGTCTTTATCAAAGTACAGGATGAGCGATATTGTAAATACATGTTCTCCGGGGCCGGGAGCCTATCTGAAGTATGCAAGAAAGTAGTACTGACTCAAAGGATCTTATCCTACAAGAACATTATTCACATCTTACTGGGGAAGGAACTGATTTATATATCGTCTGATATGGCCAGAAAAACACTCCTGATAAATCAATGCCTTTATCTCGATTTGAAATGTAGCCAAGATCCCAACATGGCCTCTCCATCTTTACTTCTCATCTGCTTTTTTAGGAACACCAGTCTCCTCTCCTTTCATGTGGCAAATGCTGATGGCTATCACTCTAGAGTCAACACACGAGGCAGCTGGGACTCACCCCAACAGCTGATAGCTCAGACATGTTGGGAGGGAGGGAGGGAGGGAAGCGACTTCCCATATAGCTTTACTTCCTACTGCTGCAGAATGTTTCTTAAGCAAATTCCTAACTACTGTAAAGGTTTTTGTGTCTGTGTGGGTGTGATAGTCCTGTTGATTTAAATTTCATCAACTGCTCTGTGACAAAGTCCATGTGGAGCCCTGTGCAGATGTCTGCATGCAGCCCAAAATTTAAAACAGTCCATATTTCTAAACATGCCAACTGCACATGCAGCAGAAAAGTTAACTGGATTCTCATTTTGTAGATTGTATGTGTGTATGTGCTGCATGTTGATCATCCCCTTTGTCTGTGTTGTAGTCTAAGTAACATATACAAATGAAGAGTTCATTTGCCAGATCAGATAACTCCATCTTCACAAACCTTCAGAAAATTCACTTTTCCGTCGTCTACCTGAGACAATGCAATCAAAATGAAGTGAGTTAAAGTTAATTAAATTAAGTCATTTCTACTGAGTCAAATCCACTCAACTTCAGTCTGATTGATATTAGCTCAAGAAAACAACAACAACAAAAAAGTTTTCTGAAAAGCAACAAAAATGAAGTTATCTGTTTTTGCAAATGAACTCTTCATAAGCACAAGCATGAGGCATTATTACCATTTGAACCACTAATTACATCACCCCTGTCTTCATAGACAGGTTTCTATCTGAAAACAGACACTCAAGGGGATCTTTTGTACATTTCCTTATTTTCTGTCATATTTACAGCATAACGTTTAGTTTGGAATAGTAACGGAAATATATGTAAAAATGATCCCTTTACGCCAAAAGGCTAAATTGGTTTCCTATGTTTTCTTCTACTTTGCAACAAAGTGACGTCAGATCATCATAGATTTATATATCTGGTCATCTGCTCCAGACACAACATGCTCACAAAGCACTGGCTGCTTCCACTTGACAGGCTTCCAGAGGTTTGCCAATCAGAAGAAAGAAGGGCTATTAGAGAAGATGGCCTTCAAGAGACAGGGGCTAAAACGGCATGTTTCATACTGAGGATGAAGTGAGGGGCTACAT